CTTCTTCTTCTTCTTCTTCTTCTTCTTCTTCTTCTTCTTCTTCTTCTCTTTTTTTCTAGACAGAGTCTTGCTACGTAGCCCAGGCATGACTGGAACTCAAGATACAGTCCATACTGCCTCAAATTTGCATTCATCCTGTCAGAGCCTTTTCAGTGCTAGGCTTACAGGTCTGTGAAGTACCTTATACCAGGCTCTCCTACCTCCTTTTCTGCATCTAGTCTTCTTTGCCTAATCTATGTAGTTTATCTAAAACTTCCAATTGATCACAGCGCTTCTTCTCTGGGTGATGACCCTGTGTGGTAACTCAGCTAGTGAGGTAAGTATGAGTGGGCACAGCACATAGGTTTTTGATATGACTGTTGTGCAATGCCCTGTTAGTATATTGTTTTTTGCAAATGTATTTACACATGTGAAGATAATGCTGTCTTATACTGTTTGGGATTCTACAATAATCAGTATCATTGTAAATATGGAAAGTTACTGTTCATATTCCTGCAGGGAAAGATGCCCCAAATGAAGGAATCTGCAGATTTGGTGTCTTGTAAGTAACTGCCTGTTCCTTGTAAGCAGAGATGTTTTATGTTTTATGATGGAAGATTAAAATAATTTTTTTTAGGAGGCAGAGGCAGTCAGATTTATGTGAGTTCAAGACCAGCCTGGTCTACAGAACAAGTTCCAGGGCTTCCAGGGCTACCAGGGCTACACAGAAAATCCCTATCTCACAAAACCTAAATAAATAAATAAAATTATAAATTTTGGCTGGGACTCTATGCGAAGACCTTATACATGTTAGACAAGTGAAAGGGTTAGACTAACTTTGTAACCTGTATGTCCTCTAAAGCCTATAGTTTTGAGTTTTAGGGTCAGGTTAAGCTAAAGCCTCTTAGTATCTTTCCAGAGAATGGAAAAATGTGACCCTATCTATGAGGACAGATAGAAAAAAAAAGGCAAGCAAGCAATGACCTTCACTCAGCAAAAAGAAAAACTCCTGTCTTTGAGATAGCATTTCTTAGCAACGAACCCAGACTTCTTCTGAGTAGCTTTTGACCTGCAGCCAAAAGTCTGCAGCCCCTAATCTTCAAGGATGAGCTAACCACTCCCACCTTAAATTGCAGCTGCATCCACACTTGGCAGGACCTAAGACTAACCAATTATCTTACTTTATAGCTTCCTCATCCAATCCTAAATTGCCAAGACTGCAACTTCAAATCTCCCACAATTTTTCTTTTAAAAACCTAAAGGCCTTTGTCTCCGGGTGCCACTCTTTGCTGACCAACAGGGGTGACCCCATTGGTAATGGTTAATAAACCTCTTGCTTTTGCAAGAGTCTTGGTCTGGGGGAGTTTCTGGGAAGGACACGATCTTGAACTCCTGAGCTGTGAGACCCCAGGTCTTACACAAGCACTCTGCCACTGAGTTACCTCCTTGGTCCTTGGGTCTCCTTTATAAGGAATGTCTCCAATCATGAAGCCTCTACTCTCATGACAGTCATCTCCCAGAAGGCACAGCTTCTTGCCACTGTTGCATTGATGATTCAGTTTGAACGGATGATTAAAGTAGATATCACATCCCTGAGCAATTTCTTACTTCTCATTCTGTCCTGGTGATGCAGCCCAGTCTACCAAGTACTTCCAGGGAAGAAACCGTTAGATTCAACTTTGGAGCTGTATAACCCCATGTAACACTAGCTACCAATGAGTGTACATGTGAAAGTCATTCGTTGATATTTACAAAGTTCTGGGCTGGAGTGTGTATTAATCACTATGTGTGTGTGTGTGTGTGTGTGTGTGTATGTGTGTGTGTGTATTTTAATCACTGAAGATATAAGAGCAATCCTACTCATTCTCAGGAAGTTATTCTGGTAGGGGAAAAGACCATGAAACAATAAGCAAATGATTATGTAATATAAAGATGAGTAAATGCCTTGCATAAGATGGAGGAATTCAATGTTTTCCTTGCATCTATATGTACGTGTGGTATGGTGTGTATGGGTGCATTTATGCTCTTGTGTGTATGGGTTCACTTGTGTATATATGGGTATCTTCTTTGATCACCCTCCATATTGAAGTAGGGGTTCTGCCTGGAGCACACTGGTTTTGGCTAGTCTGGCTAGTCAGCTTGTTCCAAGGGTTCTCTGTCTCTTTCTCTCATCTGCCGGGATTGCATGCCCGCTCAGTGTTCTACATGGGCGCTGGGAACCCATCTAGTGCTTTGCCAACTGAGTAAGCTCCCAGTCCCAGAAAATCAATTTTCTGAGGAAACATCCTCTATGAAATAATTATATCCAGAATTAAAAAAAAAAATAGGCCTTGCTGGCTGTTTAGAACTTGAACTGTGGGAGGCTGCCATGTGCAGTATGGTCAGCTAGCTTAGCTCAAAGAGGAAAACCAGGTACCTGGGATATGAATGCCAACAGCAGGACCACGGTGGAACAGCTCTGGGCTCTCAGCAGCCTCAGTGTCGGGTCGAATGCAAGACTGCAAGTGAGAGTCAGCAAAGCTATCCGTACATTAAAACAAAGATCCACTGCTATTGAATACCAGCCAAACTGTAAAACGCCATGAATAAAACATGTGAAGAGAAAGAAACACGGTGTCCCAACTCACAAACACGCCGTGTGAGGGCTAAACAGAAGATTATGCAGGGCCCAATGGGGTGGCATACACAATTAATCCAGCACTAGAAAGGTGAATCCAGGCGGATCTCTATGATTTGGGGGCCAGCCTGGTCTACATAATGAGTTCCAAGGTTACACAGAGAAACCCTGTCTCAAAGGAAGAAGAAAGAAAAGAAGTAGAAAAAGAAGACTATGCAGGGAAGAAAAGAAATTTAATGAACTCCTGGGAGACAGATCTGTACAAAGCAACTCAAGAGATACAGAAAGAAAGAAAGAAAGAAAGAAAGAAAGAAAGAAAGAAAGAAAGAAAGAAAGAA